GGGGGAGGTTTGATTAAATTGAAGGGTGCTATTAAGGTCAATGTTGAGTGGAACGGTGACACCAAAGACATGCAGCTACTCGTGGTAGATTCACACCAGGCTTCAAATATTCTAGGACTAGATTGGTTTGAAACATTAAAATTCGAACTAAATACTAACGAGAAAATTCAGTCTATTTCAACTATGCAAAGCCACACGTCGCGCGATGCTTTATCAGCTTCTTTAAAGGAATGCAGCCAGCAGTATGCTGATATATTCTCTTCAGCAGGGGGTCCTTGTAAAACGTTTAAAGCTAATATTAGGTTGAAACCTAACGCAGTACCTAAATTTTATAGACCTTATAATGTGCCGTTTGCATTACATGCAGACGTACGTGCAGAAATAGAACGACTTGTAAATAACAAAGTGCTAAAGCCAATAAGCACAAGCGAATGGGCTGCACCTATTGTGGTGGTGAAAAAACCAAACGGGAAGCTCCGAATCTGTGCAGATTTTAAAGTGGGTGTTAATCCTCAAATTGAAATCGATCGATACCCAATTCCACGTATCGAAGAACTTTTTCATAAACTAAAAGGAGGGCAGTGCTTTACAAAAATCGACTTGAGTGAAGCATATTTGCAAATAGAGCTGGCCGAAACGTCAAAACAGTTTATGGTTATAACGACTCCTTTTGGGTTGTTTCAATTTCAAAGAATGCCATTTGGCATTTCAAGCGCCCCAGGGTTATTTCAAAAATTTATGGAGGAAGTAATCGTTGATATTCCCCATTGCGCCGTTTACCTCGACGATATAATTGTGTCAGGTCAAAATGATGACGAACACATAACCAATGTCAATATGGTTTTTCAACGCTTGCGGCACCACGGGTTACAATGTAAATTAGATAAATGTAGTTTCGCACAAAAGCAAATAGAATACGTGGGCCACATTATAGACGATAAGGGTATCCAACCTTCAGAAAAGCGTGTCGATGCGATCAAAAATATGCCTAGACCACAAAACGTGACCGAAGTAGAGGCATTTATTGGCAAAGTAAACTATTATAATAAATTTATTGATAGTTTTTCAACAATTGCAGCGCCGTTAAATAGGCTGCGAAGAAAAAGTTCTGTATTTCAGTGGGGAAAAGAAGAGGAGAGTGCCTTCCAATCTCTTAAGAACTCGATCGTTGAAGCTACTCGACTAGTTCATTACGACGACAATCTACCTATCATACTCGCCGTGGATGCATCCAAGCTGGGTGTTGGCGCGGTCTTATCGCATCGTTTCAAGAATGGTGAGGAAAAGCCAATCGCACACGCATCGAAGACACTAAACAGCAGTCAGATAAATTATTCACAGGTGGAAAAAGAGGCTTTGGCCATTATCTACGGCGTAACTAAATTCCACCAATATCTCTACGGGAGAAAATTCGAGCTTTTCACTGATCATCAAGCACTTACAACGTTGTTTAATCCCGCAAAAAGGCTACCGGTTATGGCATTACACCGTATACAACGTTGGGCTATTGTACTTCAAGCATACAACTATACAATCCGATATAAGAAATCTTTTCAAAACGCTAATGCAGATGCGCTCTCGAGATTGCCATGTGGTGAGGACCCTGAATTTGACAAAGGGGAAAATAGTGTTTTTAGCATCGATGTAAACTATGAAGCCGCTGTCAATAGCTTTCCAATAACGGATCACGTTATTAAACAAATGACTGAAGAGGATGAAACTTTGAAGCTGGTGCTCAAATATGTGCTTGACGGATGGCCTCAGCATGCGATTCCAAAAAGCCTTCTGCCATACTTCAATCGAAACCTGTGCTTATCAGTACAGAATGGCGTACTACTGTTGCATACCGACTACACTCGAGTTATCATACCTAAACAACTTCAAGGCAGGGTATTAACGATGCTCCATGACGGACACTGGGGCAAAAGCCGCATGAAAGAGATGGCTAGACGGTATGTTTGGTTTCCTACGATCGAAAAAGAAATTGAAAAAATATATGACAACTGCTCTATATGTCAATCGACTGCATCGTTGCCTAAACGCGAATTTTCAAAATGGCCGGAAGCAACACAGCCATGGGAGCGAATACATTTGGACTTCGCAGGCCCATTTTATAACCGCATGTGGTTGATTATTGTGGATTCATATTCTAAGTTTCCTTATGTAATTGAGCTATCGGCAGCAACTACAACAACGACCGTAGCCGCTCTTCAGAAAATTATTTCCGTCGAAGGGCTTCCGTGCACCATTGTTACGGACAATGGAACGCAATTTACCTCGCACGAGTTTCAACAATTCTGCAAACGGAACTCTATCCAACATCTTACAACTGCACCATTCCATCCTGCCTCAAATGGGTTAGCAGAAAGGTTCGTGCGAACTTTTAAAGAAGCTTTTGTGAAAATAATGAAAACAGAGCATCAGACCGAGCGTGCTTTGTACAAGTATCTTACCACTTTTCGAACCACACCTAATCCGGTCTCTGGCAAGTCGCCAGCAGAGCTACTTCATGGTCGCCAACCACGAACAATACTAGCGGCCATGTTCCCAACGTCGGCTCAGCGCCAAAAGTCAGAAAGTAAATTTGTATCCGGTGCACGAGTTTGGGCTCGAAGCTATGCAGGGCCATCACGTTGGGTTGAAGGAAAAATACAACAGATACTGGGTAAAAAGATGTATAGTGTACAGACAAATCGAGGGTTGTGGAGGCGTCACCAAAATCAGCTGCGACTACAAAAATATAATACGTCAGATCCGAAACTAGATACCGACAATATCGAAATTGAGTTGCCGGCAGATAACCATGCAACACCTAAGCGACCGCCTGCCACAGCCAACGAAACACAATCATCCAAACGTTCACCGGAGCTAGAACAATCAACACCTAACGCAGGGTCAGTACTACCCCGGCGTTCCAAACGAGTCCGGAAGCAGACTGAGCGTTTCAATCAAGTTTGACTACAATAATTTTATAATTGAACTTTTTGAATATATTATATTACATTAATTAAGTGCAGGGGAATGTAAGAAATCTGGTATCACTAACTTATAACGAATGTCAGAAAACACTTCAGAAGTGTATTAGGCAACTCTGCTCTTCTTAACTCGTGTACTAGCTCTCTTCCGTTCCACTGTTCTTCCGGTCAAGTCAAGTTTAATTAATATCATTTTCCATTTTGCTATTTGTTACTTTTACTCATTAATAAAATATCCTGAATTATTATCGATCGGGTTTTACTTCACAAAAACCTTTCACCTATGCACCTTTCCTATGAAAATCAAAACAGTTGTTATCCAGGGCGTATCCAGGTTCAAATGTAGGGGGGCTGAAGTAAATATACATGTTTCTTAAAACATTTCTATTTTATATTAAATAATTTTTACGCTAATATCAAACGTCTCGGATTTTCAGAAAAACTTTTCGATTATTTCCCACTGAATCAAGGTTTTCGGTAACGATTCTTCTATGGACACACATGA